AGTCTGTAACATAGTTTGGTTAAAATTTCTCAATGGTAGTGTAAAAAACACCTTTTGACAGGGTACAAAAGGTGTTTTTTACACTACCATTGAGAAATTTTAACCAAACTATGTTACAGACTTTTCATTAAGACCCTAAAGAATCATATCAACTTGTGGAAAATGGGCATCCTATGACCCCTTTAAAAACTTTGACATGAATACATTTCATTAGTTTGTTTTACTGTAGAAGACATTCAGTTTTGTGAAATGCATAGTACATAGAATGTAACTACATTTCCCCCCTCTCTCAGGCACCTCTCAGCTGAAGAGTTGGAAAAGAAGAGAAAGGAAATGATGGATTTTGCCCGTGAAAGAAAAGTGGAAAGGCAAAATAATGTGCAGAGTTACAAGCGACAAGAGGAACAGGAGAAAGCCAGAGACAATGCCAAACAGGACTGTCATGCTGGCTTCATACAGTCAGTATTTAAATTACTGAATCCTGAATTGACCTAAAATAAATGTGCACATTGGCAAAGCACTTGTTGGCACTAAGTTCTGCTGGAAATTATGTTCTTGTGTTTGGTCAGCCATAAAATGATTTGGATAATAATACATTGTTCACTAATTAATTTGTAAATCTATTTACAGTGACATGAAACTAGAGAGTGCTGCCACCTCCTCTCTGGAAGACCGTGTGAAGAGAAACATTCACTCTATTCAGAGGACCCCTGCTGATCTGGAGAAGAACTTCGATGAGAGATGAGACCATAAAGAACATGGAAACTTTTACCTCTGTCTTTTGTTTTAAGATTTTTAAGATTTGTAATTTTTAATTAACATTATGATGCCAGATCATGGTTGTAAATAAAATGTACAAATAACACTTGTTCTCCTTATGGGGTTTGTCTTAACCAACTGACCAACCTGTTCCAGTCATCAGTACTGATATGTCTGTAAACTCAGCATACAAAAAAAAAAAGTATAGGGACTATTTATTCCATTCCAGTTAGTGTGAAACTTGTTCAGTTTGTCTCAGTTGCTTAACATTCTATGTTAAAAGTGGAAAAAGTTGGTCAAAAACATAAATTTGCACACAAACTGACCACCAACCGCAACTTTCAGGCGCCATTTTTATTAAATTTTTTGCTAAGCTGTCACAGAGTAGAACGCACAGGATTGTGGGATATCAAAGGCAGCTAAGGATACATCTATGCTGCCTTCAAAAATCCATCAGATGAAGGTATCTGCGGAAACGGGAATTGAAGCTAACATTGGATTCGGACATGCCTGATGCCTTCCTACCTTGGAATGCATTCTCCGAAGGCAGCATTTTTCAGCTTTCGGACACAGCAAAAAACTCTAATCGGCCAATAGGGGGCACTACAGCGATCAAAAACGTTGAAATCCTATGTTAGATTTCCTCATTGTGAACAACTTTGGCTCAAGAAGTACTGTAGTCCAGGAGATATGTGAAAATAATGTTCACTTTTTCATAAAAGCATGAAACTTGGTACACTTGTATAGTTTGCAGCCCTAAGCATTGTGTTAAATGTTTTTGTGTCTAAACTTTAATTACACTAATTGTGACAGGGAGTTTGAATGCTTGAATGCCTTCTAAAAACAAAAACGAGATATACTGTATATAGTGTATCACCATTCAGTGTGTTAAAAAAGAGAGAAGCTCTCTGGTGAATGTTGTGTGTTTTATACACACACCTCTAATGACCGAGAACAATGCAGTCTTTTCAAATGCTGGCTAGTGCTATCGCTCGCTTCTTAGCACGGGACAGATACATATTTTGCTGCTGACCGAAAAGTTGGAACAACAAATGACTAGACCTATAGAACTCCCGCTGAAAGTTTTGAAAACTCCGCCTACTTTGCTCTGGCCAGTTTAGCGTAAATCGCTTTGTATCTGAAGGGCTGCGCTGAACCCAGCGGCCAGTGCAGCGCTTTCCGCATCCTGTGTGAAAGGCCCTTTCCTCGTCGGCTTTTCCCACGTTTTCACAGCAGCATTATCAAGAACAGGCTTGCTCTGCCGTGAGTGATG